TGCAGATGCCAAAGTTCGATGATTTTGAGCCTCCTATTACCATTAAACGTAAAATGACATCTGATCACGATACTGATGATGCTAATGAGGCCTTGAGAAACGAGGTACTGATGAGGACGGAGCAATTTCTATAACGGGTAGTGTTGTTTTTTTTTTGAGCAGAGAAATCAAAATTGACAATCACTTGATTCACCCAAGAACAAATTTTTTTATTGAATAAAATGTGTCATGTCCATTAATTGAGATCTATTATTAAGTTATTACAATTAAAAAATACATTTAAAATATTAAAAAGTATTGTAATTTTCATTTTATTATTTTTGATATTTGATGAAGAAAAAGATACTTACTCGCCCTACTACATTTATTTAGATTAAATTACTTTTATATTTTTTCGTTTAATTATTTTTATAACAAGCATTTATTTATTACTACACATTTTTCAAAATTTGGAAAAAGTAATGAATCTTAAACTTGTCATGCTAGGCTAGCATTCACAACAAATAATAATGATGAATGCGAGAGATGGAGATATCAGAAAATGAATATTAATTAATATTAAAAATAGCTTTTTCCGGTAAATATTTTCCGTTAGACTATGAGGAAAATAAGTGATAGAATGAAAAATTATGAATGAAAATTGAAAAATGGAAATAATAATAACAAAAACATCAAAAAGGACGGCAAAGATGAGGAAGGAGGAGGTGAAGATGACGATGATGATATTTTGCTTCGTTCTTCTTCTTTGAACAAGAAAGTTGAAAAAGTAACTAATCTTTTAAACAAATAATTTTTTTTATTTATTTCCTTTTAACATCAACAACAACCGCAATGATAAATTTTCTCTATTTTACAATCTTTATAATAATAATCTATTTTACCAAAAAAAAAAAAAGAAAAAGTAAGGTTTAATCAATAAATCAATTAATCAATCAATAATTTATTAAATTAATGGTTATTGGCTATTACTATTAGGAAATCAACGAAACCTAATCCTTTTAAAAAGATTATTGATGAACAAAACCTTTCAAGACAAGAAAGATTAAAAATGTTAGAGGTAATTTATGGCTGTAATTATTATTGAAATTATCATTTGGATTATGATTGAGATTATTTAATGAAGTTATTAATTACTCCTCATTTATTACAGGAAAGAAAAAAAGAAAAACAACTTCAAGCAGAAAAACGAAAAGTTTACAAGAAAAAAAGAAATCAAACTAAAAAACAATTTTTTAAACTAACTGCAAAAGGTCAACCTGTGATGAAAGCTAGAATTGATAATTTATTGGAAAAAATAAAAAAGATCACTTAATAATCATTGTATGAAGGGTCAATATTTTAAAATTATCTGGCTTATTT